AAATAACTTTAAATTTTTAGTACAACGTAAATAATTCTTGAAGATTAAAATTATTTTTTTCATAATGCACTAATAATTTAATCTCATTTTCTAAATCCTATTAAAAGTGAATAAAATTTAACATGAATATTACTAAAATTGATTAAAAGCATTCATAATCAAAATTTAAAACTTCTAAACCAAATATTTCAAAATAGTAGAATATTAAGAATAATTTCATTATATAGTTTTAAGGCTTTTAGAATGATACTTAGTTAAAATTTAGTTAAAAGAATCACAAGATTATTTTAAGAATAAATTAAAAATTTAGGGTTTTAAGAGTGAACGCGCAAACCAGTTCTGAAATGATAGAGTTGCTAGTGAATTAAAAATTTAGAATTAAAGTTAGAATGCATGATTAAAATGAAGAAATAACTTAAGGAATATGGAAATGTTTTATTTTTATTTTTTTAATTAAGTTAATGGAGTTATAATATTGTAAAATAAGAAAAAAAATTAAAATACTACAAAAAATTTGTTATATTATTTAATTAAATTATCTTCTAATCGGATTTTATTTTGTAATCGGATAGTTCGAGCGATTTGAAGGTAAAATCACAAACCAAATCAATTATATCGGTTTTATAATTTTAAAATTCAAACCAATCCAATTTTATATCGGTTTGGATGACTTTTGATTGGATTGGATCAGTTTAAGTTAGATCAATCGGATTTGATTGAATATGAACACCCCTGGTATCAACACTGAACAGCAGATTCTTAAGGTTGCCAGAGATGATTATTGGGATGATACTAGTCCCACGGATTTCGTCAACACCACCATCGATTTCAAGCACTTTAGTTGTTTCAAGCGGGCTTAGGAACCTCACCATATTCTACAATTGCACTTCAGATTCAAACTCTTACTATTCTTCTTCTTCTCTAACTCTATATAATTGTACCAAAAATAATAATACGACCGTCAAATGGCTGTCCCTGTATGGTACCTTTACCAGCTCAAATGATCCCTTGCTAGAAGAATGCACCAGCAATGTACAAATTCCAATCAACGAAACAGCTGCCCAGATTCTGTATCAATATCCATGGATGGTCAATGTTACTCTGAAGGCAGGTTTCGACTTGCGGTGGGAAATAGGTAGTGATCAATGCAACAAATGCTTGAATTCTGGTGGGGTTTGTGGATATAATAGGACCACAACTCAATTCACTTGCTTCTGCCAAAACCAGCCCTGGTCAAGCACATGTCCAAGACCAGGTTTGTGGCTCTTCTCTTGAGCTTTACTAGTTCTACAGATTAATTTCATTTTCGAAACTCGCTGGTCAATGATCATCCGTTATGCATTTCTGATTGTTCATATCACTATCATCTAATTTTGAGACTTGAAGACTTTTTGTTCTTACACTCAAGGATTCAACCATAGGAGCCAAAATTTTCTCGATATTTAATTCTGTTCTAGTCTCATATTCTTGATCTTGATCCTTTTTACACACAAGGGTGATTTCTTCAACAAGGAAATTGATTGATACGCTGGATTTCTTTGACTTTATTAGAGATGGAGACTAAGTTTCTATATTCTGGAATTCTGAGTTCTTCAGAATATCTAAATTTCCACAATGGACACATGCATTTCGTCTCTTCTGTTAGTCTGCCTAATTTCATTTGACCGCCACTAGATTAATCGTTCCAATAGAATTAATTTCACCCTTTCACTTATTCAAACACCACCATTTTTGCATCATCATGATTAATAGTTAAAACCACTTCATCCCAATCTTCTTCTTTTTTTCATTCTCTTGTTTCATAGGACAAAATGCATCCCCTTCACCTCCCTTGGTCTTTCTCCTTCTTTATCATCATCACCTTCGTCTTGATCCATGCTCCTAAATTCGCATCCTCTGTGGATGAACGTTATGTGAACTGCAGCGGGACTTTCGCCTGTGGAAACATTGAGAATATTGGCTATCCTTTCTGGGGTTCAGACAGGCCGGACTACTGTGGCTTCCCGGAGTTCCAGCTGAACTGCGGTGACTCAATCCCGGAGATCACAATCATGTCAGCAAAATACCACGTCCTTGGAATCAACAACGAGTCCCGGCTTCTCACCTTGGCCAGAGCCGATTATCTAGACAACCCCTGCCCCACCTCCCTAATCAACACCACACTGAATCGTGACCTCTTTGAATTTACACCCGATACTCAGGAAATAAACCTCTATTATCGTTGCCCTCAAATAACAAATCAGGAGATTGGCTCCATCATTAATTTTACTTGCAATGTAAACGCAACCACCTTCTCCAGCGTTTACCTCTACAGTAATCTCAGCGAAATAACCGGCGTGGGTTTGATTGCGGCTAGTACTTGCGGTGACAGGGTTGTTCTGGCCGCAAACCGATCCGAAATCCAGTCCGTGGAGGCAAGTCCGAATCCAAGCGGGAAAAATCTGGTTGAAGCTCTTGAAAAAGGATTTGGGCTGCAGTGGAATGCAAATAATAGCTTGTGTGATCGGTGCAGAGGCTCCGGCGGGCAGTGTGGATATAATACGGATACCGATACGTTTTCTTGTTACTGCTCAGATCAGCCTTATGATACCGTTTGTCCTCCTCCAACAGGTCAGTTTATTACTTCTCCCTTTTTAGTGATCGGCCCCATAATGTGCTTATTTGTTAAAACTCCATATTTCACACTTAAAATTAAAATAAAAACAAAAAAACTAGAGATTGAATTCTTAGGTTTTTGTTTGTTACGGTAGGAAATTTGAGGACGTTGGACCTTTCTTAAGGCCAGTGAGGACATTGAAATTTAAAGAATTTTTAATTTCCTACAAAATATGCACTAATAAA